TTTGGTTGCAGGTTGTTATTATAATAATAATAAGTATTATAATAATTATTATTATTATAGTAATACATCATCTAATTACAATATAATTTCAATGGCTTCCGAAAAAGAAAGAGATAACTTCTGTGTTCGTTTCACCGGCAAGAATTATTCGGCTTGGGAATTTCAATTCAAGATGTATGTTAGAGGAAAGGGATTATGGAGTCACTTAGATGGTGTTTCTAAGGCCCCGACGGATAAAACTGCTTCAGATGTATGGGAAACTCAAGATGCTCAAATCATCACTTGGATTCTCAATAGTATTGATCCTCAGATGATAAATAATTTGCGCTCCTTTTCAACTGCTCAAGAAATATGGAATTATCTGAAGCGCATTTACAACCAGGACAATTCGGCAAAACGTTTTCAATTGGAGCTAGACATAGCCAACTACAAACAAGGTGACCTACCTATTCAAGAATACTATTCTGGTTTTCTGAATCTCTGGACAGAACACTCTGCTATTATACATGCTAATGTTCCCAAAACCTCTCTCACTGCTGTTCAAGAGGTCTACGACACAAGTCGGCGAGATCAATTTCTCATGAAACTTCGTCCAGAATTCGAGATTGTTAGAGGCGCTTTGCTCAATAGGAATCCTGTTCCTTCTTTGGATACTTGTGTCGGTGAACTTCTAAGGGAGGAACAACGTCTACTTACGCAAGGAACCATGTCTCATGATGCTGTTAGTTCCGAACCTGTGGCAATTGCATATGCTGCTCAAAGTAGAGGAAAGGGTCGTGATATGCGACAAGTTCAATGTTTTTCTTGCAAACAATTTGGACATGTAGCTCGCAATTGCAGTAAGAAGTTTTGCAACTATTGCAAACAACAGGGTCATATCATCTCTGACTGTCCCACACGTCCTCCCCGACCAGTACAACGTCCAACTCAAGCATTCCATGCCACTACCAACTCTGAAGTTGGTCCTCTCAGTACGGGTACCGGTAGTGTTCTACAACCTGAAATGATTCACCAAATGGTACTTTCTGCTCTTTCAGCCTTGGGAATTCAGGGTAAGTCTTCTAATAATTCTCAATCATGGTTTCTTGATTCTGGTGCATCCAATCACATGACGGGTTCCTCTAAATACTTACAAAATGTACATTCCTATAATGGTAATCAGCAAATTCAAATTGCTGATGGTAATAAACTTTCTATCACTGGTGTTGGTGACATAGACTCAAACTTTCGTGACGTGCTTGTATCACCCGGACTTGCTTCCAACTTATTGTCGGTTGGTCAATTGGTGGATAACAATTGTAATGTTAGTTTTTCTCGTGTTGGTTGTCTTGTGCAGGAGCAGGTGTCGGGAAAGGTGATCGCGAAGGGGCCTAAAGTGGGAAGATTGTTTCCACTCCAGTTTAGTTCTAGTCATTTATCCTTTGCATGTAATACTGTTTTGAACTCTTATGAGGATTGGCATAGAAAATTAGGCCATCCAAATTCTGTTGTTTTGTCTCATTTATTTAAAACTGGTTTGTTGGGAAATAAACATGCGTGTACTACTCCTATTTCATGTTCTGTTTGCAAATTGGCTAAAAGTAAAATCCTCCCTTTTCCGTCAGGCGCTCATCGTGCTTCTAATTGTTTTGAGATGATTCATAGTGATGTGTGGGGAATGTCTCCTGCAACATCTCATGCTCACTATAAATATTTTGTCACATTTATTGATGATTACAGCCGCTTTACTTGGATATATTTTCTTAGATCTAAGTCTGAAGTGTTTTCTATGTTTCAGAAGTTTTTGACATATGTTGAAAATCAATTTCAAGCAAGTGTTAAAATTTTTCGATCTGACTCGGGAGGTGAGTATATGTCTCATGCATTTCAGGAATACCTTCAACAAAAAGGGATCTTGTCTCAACGGTCTTGTCCCAATACCCCTCAACAAAACGGGATGGCAGAGCGAAAGAATCGTCATTTGCTTGATGTAACACGCACATTACTTCTTCAAGCTTCTGTGCCATCCCGATTTTGGGTTGAGGCTCTTTCCACAGCCGTATTCTTGATCAATCGTCTTCCTTCTACGGTTATTGATTTTGATTCTCCCTTCTTTCGCCTTTTTAAAATTCAGCCTAGTTATAATGATTTACATATTTTTGGATGTGTTTGTTTTGTGCACTTACCTCCATTTGAAAGACATAAGCTTGGAGCACAGTCTGTTCAATGTGCGTTTATGGGGTATAGTCACTCACATAAGGGATTTGTGTGTTATGATGTCACTAACCATCGTTTTCGCATTTCTAGGAATGTGACATTTTTTGATAATCAGTTTATGTTTCCATGCGTTTCTCCTGTCATGAATGATATTGTTACTCTTCCTAAGTTCTCTATTATGCCTCAATCTATAGAGCGTTATAAACCAGGTCGTGTATATGTCAGAAAACACAAACAGCAGGTTCCCACACCCCTTCCCGACGCTGAACCGCCACCTGATCCTGTAACGGTTGAACCACGACGTTCTGTTCGAATATCTCGAGCACCAGACAGATATTCACCAGACAGGTATGATTCAGCACATACTTCTCTGACTGCCACCCTCTCTGGCATATCTATTCCTACTTGTTATTCACAGGCTGTTAAAGATGTACGTTGGATAAAAGCAATGAATGAGGAACTTCAAGCTCTTCAAGAGAATTTCACATGGGATATTGTCTCTTGTCCTCCAGATGTCAAACCCATTGGCTGCAAATGGGTGTATTCTGTGAAATTGAATTCGGATGGGTCCCTCAACCGTTTCAAGGCTCGCTTGGTTGCCTTAGGAAACAAGCAGGAATATGGAATTGATTATGATGAGACATTTGCACCGGTTGCTAAAATGACATCCGTTCGTACAGTACTCTCTATAGCTGCTTCTAACGGGTGGGCTCTTTATCAATTAGATGTGAAAAATGCTTTTCTTCATGGTGACCTCGCGGAAGACATTTATATGACTCCTCCTCAAGGTTTATTTTCATCATCTAAGGGTGTGTGCAAGCTTAAACGCTCCTTATACGGTTTGAAACAAGCACCTAGAGCATGGTATGAAAAATTCCGCTCCACTCTACTTGGGTTCTCCTTTACTCAGAGTCAGTATGATTCTTCTCTATTTATTCATAGAACGTCTACTGGAATTGTCCTACTTCTTCTGTATGTTGATGATATGATTATTACTGGTTCTGATCATGCTTCCATTCAAAGCCTTAAACAGCAGTTACAAGCAGCGTTTCATATGAAAGATCTTGGTAATTTGCATTATTTTCTTGGTCTTGAGGTTCATTCTACATCCAAGGGCATATTCCTCCATCAACACAAGTATGCCACAGATTTAATTTCCATGGCTGGTCTCCAATCGGCTAATCCAGTGGATACTCCGCTTGAGGTTAATGTTAAATATCATCGTGATGATGGTGATTTGTTGCCTGATCCCTTATTGTATCGGCAACTCGTGGGTAGCCTTAATTACTTGACTATTACTCGCCCTGACATATCGTTTGCTGTTCAACAAGTAAGTCAATTCATGCACTCTCCTCGCCACCTTCACTTGGCAGCAGTTCGTCGTATAATTCGTTACTTGAAGGGAAGCTCTCATCGTGGTTTATTCTTTCCTAGTGGAGTTGCTCCTAAATTGAGTGCTTATAGTGATGCAGATTGGGCAGGGTGTCCTGATACTCGACGATCTGTCACTGGTTGGTGCATGTTTCTTGGCTCTTCATTGATCTCATGGAAAAGTAAGAAACAAGCGAGAGTCTCTAAATCTTCTACTGAATCTGAGTATCGTGCCATGTCTGCTGCTTGTTCTGAAATAATTTGGCTTCGTGGTCTTTTGGCTGAACTTGGATTTCCTCAAATAGAGCCAACTTCGCTTTATGCTGACAATACAAGTGCCATCCAAATTGTTGCGAATCCTGTTTTTCATGAACGCACCAAACATATTGAAGTTGACTGTCACTCAATTCGTGATGCTTATGATGACCGAATCATATCACTTCCTCATGTCAGTACTCAGTTGCAGATTGCAGATATTCTTACCAAGGCTGTTCCGCGTCCACGTCATCAGTTTCTTGTTAGCAAATTGATGCTTATTGACAAGCAGCATCAATTTGAGGGGGGATGTGAATAAGGGTTTGTTCCTAGAATAAGGGTTTGTTTCTAGAATAAAGGAAACAAATTAGAAATTGACTTGTTCTCATTAAAATGTAATTATTTAGTGTAATTACCAATATAGCCCTGTAACCTCTATATATACGAGAAATAATAATGAGAAAAAGATAAAGCCAAGAATTCTTGACATTATGGGCTTGATCACTTAACCCATAATAGAGACCGTTGGCCTAGCAATGGGGGCACACTATAAATATCCTCCTCTAAAGGAGGGTCATCTATTCAATTATATTCCTTACTGTACTTGCCTTCTTTCACTCTGAACTTACTTTAACATCTGAGTGCCTTGTAGGTACATCCCCATGTATTCCTCACTTGACGTTGGAAACCACAACGTGTTGCTGGCCACAGATTTACTTCTTATTACATGTAAGATCAGTGGCATCGTCTATGGAAAACTTGTTGCCCCGTCTTTCTTTTCCCTAAATTCATATATCTTAAAAAACAATGATCAGTACGCCTAGGTTCGAGCACACAGTTTTCAACAATACAAAATGTCCACTTGGGGAGATTGAGATTGTAAGAACAATGAAACAAATAAAGATCACGGATACCAATGGAGAAAAAAAATCCTGTAATTCAACTGTTCAGAGGGCCACAAGAAACACCTGGATCCAAGATATGGAGCCTTCAAGTGTAAAACCAAATGCATCTACATGTATTTCCTTTTCCAACTAGGAGTAATCTATAACACTAAAACAACTTACAAAACTGTAATACCATAACCTAAAAAATAAGGTAAGACTTCACAGAGATTTGTCATTTCTATTTCAGTTGTCAGAAATGACAGATACCTAAAACATATATATACAGCAGCATCAGGATGGATCAAATCGAACAACGACGCAGGTGATGTTGTCGGAGCTTCCTCGACTATAAGCTTCTTTAATAAGTGCTTTAGATGCAGCTTCTGCATCAGTGATATTTTGTACTAAAGACACCGCCTCCTGAAAAAGGTAGAGACTGCATAAGTAATTGGAGCCTTAGCTATGAACTCTTTTCAACATAGTTCATTACTCGGAAAAATTCATATAGGTCTAACTCTCGATTTGTGGAGGCAAGATATGAAAAGTCTCACGTTGTTTGATATAACATTCCAAAGGCCATCGCTAGCTACTATTAAAAAATCCACGCCTCCGATGTCTTCCTCCTAAGCAAAAAGAATGTAAAAGGGAGGGATAAATTATCAGAGACATAAGATGTATAAGAAAATGGGTGATCAAACTTAGGATTTTAACCACCTGAATTTCTGGGTCGGCAACAACATATGGTCTAAGAAACTTGTCTCCAAATGCACGGGAAACAGCAAGAACACCACCGACCCTCCATGTTCCTGGATAAACCAGCAACTGAGTAATTTATTTGTTGTTATCATTAATTTTATGATGAACCATATAAACAAACGGAAAAATCCATATAGGATGAAATTTACCTGCCCATAATACGAATCCCCCAGCTTGTTCAATCCTTTGACGCTCGTCAGATCTATCAGGTTTGTGATCAATAGATAAAGGAACAGCTGCATAACACATTTGTATCAGTGAAAAGAAAAGAAAAACACAAGGATGGCAATACAAAACAATTTTGTTTCGTCGGCTGCTACGTATATCAGACTAATATATGCAATTTGTACGTAACTTGGCAAAACAGCATTAACACAAAATCAGTGCTGGACAAAGGCACCAACCTAAACCAGCTCTAGAAGCAACTACTCGGGAATCACCAACATTTGCAACAAGAATTCGGTCGCCTAACAATACAGCTGTTGATGCAGTGGATCCGGCATCCCTTTGATGTCCCTTTTCCTCATTGAGGTAATCAACGTCAGTTTGTTTAAAAGCTTCAACTGCGAAAAGACAAATGATTAAACATAACAGAAGTTCATATTTAGACCATCCAGGTAGCAGACCAAACCAAACAACTATAATGTGATAAGGTAATTTCACAATGTCTTATTATTTAACGCAAATGAAGTACATACCAATAGCTGTCTTAGTGTCTTTGATAAAGTCGGGATGGCTACTCAAGTTTTTGAATAAATTATTTCTCAGGTATTCTGCAGTCTGTGAACCTCCGTGGCCTAAAAAGATGAAAAGAATTAAATTTAAAGAGATGCATGAAAAGGACACGTCAATATGAAATAAACTACATTCTTTTCAATTTTAGTATCAAATCTTAAAAGGGTTTGGTATCAGGATTTGCACACTTCCTCTTTGCTGTATAGAGCATTGTGAATTTCTTTCATGTTCAAACAACAGTCAATCATACCAACAGTTAATACTCAATACACATTTAAAGGAGTCTTATCATGGCAAATCGTCCTATTAGGAAAATAATCACACTGACGGAATAAAACGTAAAAATATGGGGAAACAAATAGGACAAAATAAAGTTAAAGCATTAATTATAAGGGGCACAAAACAAAAACCTAGGACATACCATCAAAAACACCAAAAAATGCAACCATCTGACCATCAACCTCTGATATTTTGGCCTCAAAGAAATCCTCCATCGAAGCTCTTTTACCCTTGAAACTGGAATATCCATAGCTGATCTTTCCATTTCGACTTCCAGATAGAATGCTAGGAAAAGAATGCAATTTACTCATTTTCACAGTTTTAAATATTTGAGAGTTGATGGCAGTTATAAAACATAAAATGACGGGGTGACATTCGGGAGCTTTGTTGACTTTATTCACCCCGGGATTCAATTGGCTTAACCACAGCCTATAATGCCTTTGGGTGCAGCACTGCAGCCCCTAAAGCGAGGTGTGGCTCTGAGAATTCTTAAGGAAATAATATTGCATATTTGCACTGTTGCAATTCCCTATAGCTTTTGGCCTAGAGGTAAGCACTAAGTACTTGATTCAACACGACAATTTCACAGATCCGGATTTTTCTTTTAATGGAATTTAATAGAACAATTGCTACTGACATTTGACAGTTAATAAACAGGCAATTATGTCATTATCAGGCTTTTCAATTCTATCTTCCCTATTTAGACAAGAATATGGTCCATACCAAATAGCATTTAACTTGGTGAACATTTGCCAAATTATCATTCGCTCTGCCTTCTTCACTTGCGAATTCACTAAATCATCTCTTTACCTATTATTTACATCTTACTTCTCTATTTTGGTTTCCAAACTATACATGTCATTTTACAAGCAAAGAATTAAAATAAGAAATCATTTTGTTCAACTATTTATTCTCCTTTACTCTATGTTGTCAATAGCACATTATAGTAGATTAGTAGTGCTACAGCAGATTAGCGTAGCAGTGGTAGAGCTCGGAGCGACGCTATTGGTCTGTGATCCACTTTCAACAATAGCAGTTGTAGCGTCGCTGACTGTGGCCCCAAACTGCTATCGCAGCCGCGTTTGCGGCCACTAATAATGTTTTGGGGATAAATTCCTCAAATTCTGTTTTCTAAACTGTTGTCTTTTATAAAGCGTATAAATTTCAATCAAAACCCTTTAAGATAAAATAGAATTCTGCGGAGGGTTCTACTGGGTCTCCAACTATAAATTTGGAGTCGTCGTCCTGAAATTCTTTTTTCATGACTTCCATAAAATCGTCTGCGTGTTTCGTAATCGGAAGAAGTAATTTTACCATATTAAGCATATTATCTCACCTCCTATTTTTTCTAATCGAGCCTGTCGATCGGTGATTATACCCCTAGAAGTAGAAAGAATTACAATCCCTATTCCTCCCAAAACTTTTGGGATTTTGGGATAGTTAGAATATATTCGTAGACGGGCGTACTAATCTGTTTAAAATTTAAACAACTTTTAAAAGGATATGATCCTTTATTATTTCTTCTATACTTTAGAGTTAAAACTAAAAAGTATTTGCTGCTTTCTCGATGTTTTCTGACGTTTTCAAGAAAACCCTGTCGTAAAAGAATTTGAACAATGTTTTCGTTCATCTTAGTGAATGGTATTGGAATAATTCTTTTTCTATTCATGTTAACTTTATATTCTTGCTCAAAAATTATCGGTTTGTTATTCTTCCTACTGTTAGTTCAGTTCTACTTTATTCTTCTTCTCTGCTTACGTGTTATTACTCTATACTACATTTTTTGGCAATTAAGTATGATGATCTCTTTCATTTTGTTTACCTATTTTTGAGTATTTATGTTTATTTTGGACACTGAAATTTAGTCTTTACAATAGTGGCTGTCCTGCTACCTGCTATAGCATTTTCGGGAATTGGTGTTACGCAATGCTATCTGAGATCTATAGCATAACCTTACTTTTTAGCTTGAAAGTCATAGATTTGAAGACATTTTTCAAATACACCACTATTGTGATTGTGATAACCTACATGCAAACCTAAGTGTCCGACACCGACTTATGTAGTTCTACCACTTTCGTTATTATTAGTGTGTACGTACACCGGAAACAAGACACTGACACGTCTACGCAGATAATAATTTTAAAAATTGAATAACTAAACGTAATGACAAGTTTCACTGTTAGTTTCGGATACCGACACTGACACAATACATACCTTTTTCTAGAAGTGTCGGTGCTACAGGCTACTCGGTGTCAGTTCCAAAGTCTACCATAGTCAACATATCATATAGTTCACATATCATATATGATAGGTAATAAACACAATATATCAATTGTTTAACTACAACATTACAATACAATTCATACTTATTGCAAATTTACAAATTACTCATAAAAAAAACCTCACATTTTGACTTAGTTATCTTAATTCTATGCATATCTTAATAATTAATAATCTAATAGCCTCAATTAATCAATCAATTTACGAGCACAACAACCGCAACAAGAAAAACCTGAATTAATAACAAGAAGCAAAATAGTCAGAGAGAATGAAGTAAGGAATCAAAACAAGCACCTGATGCCGCCACCGCTGGAGAGAGAATCGTTATTTCTGTAAGAGATCACAATGTTTGAAGGTGCCGGCGGTGCGGGGTGACTTTTATCGGCGGCGGAAGTGGACGCGGCAGCGTGTTCGAGGCAATCGGTGTCTGAGACCATTATATTATTTACTTTGGTCCCTCCTTTTCATCTCTTTTACTCATATTTCTTTTCATTTTAGTTTATTTTACTCTTTTCTAATGTAATTTCTTTTGTCAAATTAAAATGTTAATTTATAATATTTTTGTGGAAATAGATTCATACCTATTAAAAAGGTTCTAAGTTTGAGCTTCGCCCCGAACACAATAATATCAATAATAATGTATATTTTTTAAGTAGATTAAATTTTGATCTCATTTTAGAAGATTGAGAATGTAACTTTGCAGAATGTTATTGTTAGTCATGTGGTGTTATCTGATTTTGATTTGTCAATGATTGTGGTGATACTTAAATATTTAAATATTGTGGTTATGGTAAAAGATTATAGTCAAGGATTGTGGTTGAATAAAATTACAATTTGTGGATCAAGAAAGAAATACTCATGGTTTTGCACCCATGGTTTTGTAATAACTCCCATGATTTTGTGAAGATTAACACCTATAAATAGAGGTGCATTTCCTATTCCCGGCACAACAACACAAAACATTGCAACATAATATAAAAGAAAAATTTAGAGAGATAAAATATATTATATTTTCTCCTATAAGGTTCTTTTAGTGAGTGTTCTCCTGTTACACGAGTGTCTAATTTGTTCTCTACTTGTATATAGAGAGAAATGTTGTAATTTCTTCCACTTAGTGAAAATCTTTTCTACTGGTGCCCGTGGTTTTTTCCTTATTTGTTGAGGGTTTTCCACGTAAGTATTATGTGTAAAATTTTCTACTCCTTGATCTCTTAACTTTGTGATATTTATCTTGCTACTCTGATACCCAACTGTGGTATTAGAGTTGTTGGTGTCGGTCTCTATTTCCGCCGCGACATACGGTTACTATTCACACGTGTGGTTGTATACTTTTGCAGTGATTGTTAACGTATACTAGATCTATTCTAGTGTACGGTAAAAATATACAATACTGCTCACGTATACTGTGCTATTCACGGTGAAATTGCGTAAATAAGTCCAGTGAGAAAAAAAGGCTGCAAAATTTGAGATCGAAAAATTCAGTGGGAGTAATTTCTCCCTGTAGAAACTGAAGATGCAGGCAATCCTAAGGAAGGATAATTGCTCACCAGTAATTAAAGGTAGACCGATAGATATAACGGATGAAAAGTGGAGAGAGATGGATGACAATGTTGTTGCCAATTTGCACTTAGCAATGGCAGATTCAGTTTTGTCAAGTTTAGCAGAAAATAAACTATAAAGGAGATATGGGATACTCTCATCCAACAGTACGAGGTCAAGTCACTTCACAACATATTTTTTTTAAAGAGGAGACTCTACACTCTTCGAATGAGTGAATCCACTTCGGTGCCGGATCACATCAATAATTTGAATACATTATTTGCTCAACTATCTCATCAGATTTCACAATAGTGGAAAATGAACGAGCAAAGCTTCTTCTTCAGAGTTTACCATATTCGTATGATCAACTCGTCATCAATATTACAAACAATAATATTGTTGACCGCCTATCCTTTAATGATGTCGTCGGAGTTGTTCTTAAAGAAGAATCCATGCGTAAAAATAAGGAAGATCGACAAGAAAGCTCAAAACGAATAGAAGCTTTGACGATTACAAGAGGTAGATTAACGAAACATGGTCCCAGTTGGAGTTAAAATCATGGTAGATCAAAATCTCAAAGAAGAACAAACCTCAAATGCTACAATTGTGGCAAGAGAGGGCAATTAAAGAAAGAATGTTGGTTCAACAAGAAGAATGGTGAGAAGTCTTATGAAGTAAGTACATCTCAAGGATGTATTACTAGTACCTCCGATGATGGAGAAATCCTTTACAGCGGAGCAACAGTTAGTACCAAAGGCGAAATTTAACTCACTGATGGTTGGATAGTAGGCTCAGGAGTAACATGGCACATGACTCCACGAAGAGATTGATTTTGCACTTACGAACCTATCTCGGAAGGACATGTGTTAATGGGCAACGACCGTGCTTTGGAAATTGCTAGAGTTGGTACTGTCAAAATGAAAATGTATGATGGTACTATCCACACACTTCAAGGGGTACGAGGAAAGGATTGACGAAGAATTTGTTGTTTATTGGGTAACTAGATGACCTCAAATGCAAAACTCATGTTCAAGGTTTGATCTTGAAAGTGGTGAAAGGTTCGCTAGTAGTGATGAAAACAGAGAAGGTTGCTGCAAATCTATACATGCTTTTAGTAGCAGCTGGAAGCCAAGAAGAAACAACGATGATATGGCATCGTAGACTAGGCCATATGTTAGAACGAGACTTGAAAGTTCTTGTAGAACGTAATCTCATACCCTGTCACAAGTCGGTAAATTTACCTTTCTTCGAGCACTGTGTGATAAGCAAGAAACATAGACTAGAGGTAAGTCAATTTCTAGAAGCAAACACATACTAGACTTGATTCATTTTGATGTGTGGGAGTCACAGGAAATGTCCATTGGATGAGCAAAATATTTTGTATCATTCATTGACGATTACTCTAGGAGACTATGGGTGTACCCAATCAAGAAGAAGTCAGATGTGTATTTAGTATTTAAGGAGTTCAAAGCACAAGTGGAACTTGAAACTGGGAAAAAAATTAAGTGCTTAAGGACAAATAATGGAGGAGAATATACAGATGGTGATTTCTTGACATTCTGCAAGCAAAAAGGTATTGAATGGCAGTTTATTGTTGCTCATACATCTCAGCAGAATGGTGTAGCAAAGCGGATGAATAGAACTCTCTTGGAGAGGACGAGAGTTATGCTGAAAACAACAGGATTGGCAAAGTCTTTCTAGGCAGAAGCTGTCAAAACTTTCGGTTATGTGATAAGTCGATCGCCATCAACTGCGATTAATTTAAAGACACCAATGGAGATCTGGAAGGGAAAATCGGGTGATTATTTTTCTTTGCATGTATTTGGATGTCTTGTGTACGTGATGTATAACTCCCGAGAAAGAACAAAGTTGGACCCAAAATTCAGGAAATGCATATTTTTGGGTTATGCTGACAATGTGAAGGGCTATCGTCTGTGGGATCCCGATGCCCACAAGATTATTGTTAGCAAAGATGTAATCTTTGTAGAAAATGAACTACAAAAGAAGCAAAAAGATGACAACACTATAAAGGATACTACTACAATAGAGATGGAGGAAAAGTCAGGAGAAAATGATTCTTCTAAAGCAAAGCCAGAGCACAAAAAACAAGAACTAATTGAGGTCAATAATGTAGATCCCAAAAGAACTACACGTCAGATAAGAAAACCATCCAGGCACTCAGAACATGTGATGGCAAGTCATAATGCATATTATATTCTATCAGAAGATGGAGAACCATCAACCTTTCATGAGGCATTAAATGGTTCAGACGCTTCTCTATGGATGGCAGCAATGCAAGAGGAAATTGAAGCCTTACATAGAAATAACACATGGAAACTTGTTGAACTTCCTAAAGGTCGGAAAGCCATCGGCAACAAATGGGTGTTCAAAATTAAGCAAGATGGCAACGATCAGGTGGAACGATATTGTGCAAGACTGGTGGTCAAAGGATATGCCCAAAAAGAAAATATTGATTTCAATGAGATATTTTCTCCAGTGGTAAGACTCACCATAATCAGAGTGGTCTTGGCGATATGTGTTGTATTTGATCTAAATATAGAGCAACTTGATGTAAAGACCGTGTTTCTTCATCGAGAACTTGAAGAGGAAATATATATGCTCCAACTCGAAGGCTTTAAAGAACAAGGAAAATAAAACTTGGTTTGTAGGTTGACCAAATCTCTGTACGGTTTAAAATAGGCGCCAATTTATTGGTACAAGAGATTTTATTCCTTCATCATGAGCCTTGTATACAACATATTAAGTTCAAACCATTGTACATATTATAAAAGGTTTAATGATAATGATGATTTTATCATTTTGTTGTTGTATGTGGATGACATGTTGGTGGTAGGCCCCAACAAAGATCGAGTCCAAGAATTGAAGGCACAATTGGTTAGGGAGTTTGATATGAAGGACTTGGGACCAGCAAATAAGATTTTAGGGATGCAAATTCACCGAGATAGAAAAGGTAGAAGGATTTGGCTTTCTCAGAAAAGTTATCTTCAGAAAGTCTTGCGCCGCTTTAACATGCAAGAGTGTAAGCGAATCTCTATCCCACTTCCAGTCAATTATAAATGATCCTCAAGTATGAATCCTAGCAATGAAGCAGAAAGGATGGAAATGTCTCGAGTACCATATGCACCAGCGATGGGAAGCCTTATGTATGCTATGATATGTATTAGACCAGATATTTCTCAAGCAATTGGAACAATCATTTGGTTTATGACAGATCCAGGTAATGAACACTAGAATGTTGTTAAGAGGATCCTTAGATACATCAAAGGAACCTTAAGTGTTGCATTATGTTTTGGGGGATCAGAATTCACTATCAGAGGCTATGTTGATTCAGATTTTGCAGGTGACCTTGATAAAAGAAAATCTACTACTGGCTATGTGTTCACACTTGCAGGAGGAGCGGTAAATTGGTTATCCAAATTGCACACTGTTGTAGCTTTGTCTACTACAGAAGCTGAATACATGTCCGCTACCCAAGCATGTAAGGAAGCAATTTGGATTCAAAGGTTATTGGAAGAACTCGGGCACAAGCAACAAAATGTTACTGTGTACTGTGACAGTTGGAGTGCCTTGCACATTGCAAGGAATCCAATCTTTCATTCCATAACAAAAGACATAGAAGTTTAATACCATTTTCTCAGAGAGGTAGTAGAAGAAGGAAGTGTGGATATGCAAAAAATTCACCTTAAAGATAACCTAGCAGATGCAATGACGAAGCTAATTAACTATGATAAGTTTGCATGGTGTATGTCTTCCTATGGCCTATTAGAGGCATAATCAACATGGATTTGGCAAGGTAGAGAAGATTTTGGAAGATCACAAATGTGACTTTAAGTGGGAGATTGTCAAAGATTGTGGTCATAGTCAAATATTATGGTCA